TATTAGGCATATTTGCATTTGTTTACATGCATTTCTGTTCATGTATGTGTTCGTGTATCCACTTTTCCAAAGGTATAATGTGCATTTTCACATTTTCTGTCACATGACCATATCAAAGATGGCTGACACGTCAGATCCATGAGCGTATCAATACTCGCTGTGAATAAAAGCCCAAGTTATAGAGCACTCGAAACGGACTCTAGATCAGATATGGTCACCACGGGCACAGCAGCACCATCTACACGCTACTGTGGATAAATCCACTCCCAGTCCTTACACTATAGTCCCTTTGCTCCTTACAAACTGTTGGTTGGCCTGCCATGTTTATTCATTCGGGTCCAGACTGGGGTCCAGACTGGGGTCCAGACTGGGGTCCAGACTGGGGTCCAGACTGGGGTCCAGACTGGGGTCCAGACTGGGGTCCAGACTGGGGTCGAGCAGCCCCCCGCTGCTCAGGACAAAAACGCAGCGTTTTCAAAACGCTCTCCAAAGCAGACACATTTGAAACGGTGCTTTCGTGTCAGTGTGGACAGCGAAAAATGAGACTTTTTGAAAACAATGACACATTTTAGTCATGTGATGCAGTCATGTGACCAATTAAACTAAGATAGTGAAGGGTATTATACTGCAGCTGTTTTGTTTGCTCTCAGGTTTGTCAGCCCTAGTATTCTCCCTGGCTTTTGCACCTTTGTACTTTTGTGTTACTCGCAGCAACAACTCCACCTCGTTGTTAGTCCATGTAAAAAGCTCGCTGCTTTTCCTCAACATTTTGCCGACGTTTCAAAGAGCAGCAGACAGGAATGAGACCGGCCCAATCTTCTTGCGTTTCACGCATGTGCAGGACTGGAACGTGAGCGTTTTGGGCCGTTTCAATGTGGACGCACAACTCTGTGAAAAGGACAAAACGACAGTGTGGACGCCGAGCGGAAGCATCGTTTTCACATCTATCCGGGCCAGCGTGGACGCAGCCTCAGTTATTTTAATGAGGTCTTCGTACTGAAACTAAACTTCAGACGTACATGTTTAAAACAGCGGCACTGTTGGCTCACACAGTGAATCCTACCTGACCGCTCAAAGATCGATGAGCAGCCTAACAGCACCAGAGCCTTTCATGGATATATACAGTAAAAAATATTTTACTATTATTTTGATATTTTTAAAATGCAGTTTCACCCCAAACAAACACTTGATCGTGGTAGGGAGACATGTTGGCGTAACTAACCAGAACCTGCCGTGGTGCGCTCTGCAGGACCTCTGAGCCTGTAGACTGTAGACACTGTAGACTGTTTAAACCTCTACAGTGTAGAGGTTTAAACAGTCTCAGTGTGCCGATCTGATGCTGCCCCCGTGTCTCAGTGGGAGGTACAGGATGTGACCTGGCACGCAGACAGAGGGCACGTCGTCTCAGGCCATCCTACTCGGTCGATGTCACTCTGTCTTTAGCTTATAAAAAATACCCGTCTGTAATTACACGCCTTCTCACGCAGGCACAAACACACACAAAGGCTTTTTAAGGACGATTTCCATTCAGAGCGGCAGACAAGTTCAAGATGTCTACGGCGCTCCCTCGGCCCCCTCTGCTCAGTTTAGGAAACAACAAACAATGCGGTTGCTACGGGGCCCCGTGAGCCCCCCGAGAGAGACCGCATGTCAGCAGCAGTCTGGACAGCCAACGGCCAGGCTGCAGACAGTTTGCAAGCAAACACGCAGACCGTGCAATCGGTGCACCGTGCTCCTCCTGCAGGACACACACATTAGAGATAGCCGAGAGTATCTGCAGCACCTCCTCTGCTGATAATCACACTCATGAAAGAGCTTCAGCCACGTTCTCTCTCACTGGGAAGATCAGATCTGTGCTGTAAAAGTTTGACACTAATCATTCATGAATCTCTAGACGGTTCTCTGGAACGAATAATTAGTTAATAAAGTAATGAAAATGCCTGACACAGTCTTAAGCCCAGCGGGGAGACACTGAACCTCTAACAGTTACTACTGCTCACTCATCTCCACGTCTGCAAGGACCACGGAAATTAGACTGTTCAGGAAATTCATATGAAACAAGTGAGCTGGTTTGTTCAGCCTGTAGAGGTTTAATGCAGGCCCAGTGTTACACCATCAGCTGATGAGCTAACGAGTTCATTAATACAGTGCGTCTGTCATCACAGTTTGTGACTTTAGGCCTTTGAAAAGTCTTCTCCATGAATTAAAGCTACTGAATTAAAAAAGAGGATTACGAGATGAAAACCGTAAAAGGATCTGTCAGGAACAACTCAGCTGGAAGAAAACACTGATCAGCTGACACGGCGCATCCATAAGCTGTTTTTTTAAAGACCGCTGAGTAACAACGGCACATCCCCGCTGAGGTACGGTCCCGACTCACCAGCCTCTCCATCTCCTGCTCGCGGAGCCTCTCCTCTCTCTGTCGTCGGTGGTACTCCAGCAGATCGTCCTCGTTGTCGCTGATCTCTGTGATGCTGTTCTTCCTCTCCCTCATACCGGGGTGCAGTCTCCCTGCAGACATCTTTCTGTGGGTCCTTGGGCTGGCTACAGGAGAGGAACCCGGCAACGAGCCCAGACTGTAAGCAGGCGACAAGGAATTCCCAAAGCTCGCTTTCCGTACCCCTGCACCCCCGACGCTGCCCTCCGTCAACAACGAGGTAGGGGATGGGCTGCGAGCTCGGATGCCTCTGCTGCAAGTCTGCTCCTCTGACCTGCGCCGAAGTCTGGGGCTCTCTGGAACAACCTTGCCCAGATTTGAGGGGCTGTCCAGAGTCCTCAGTGGGTTCACCGTGCCCGGAAGTGCCCCTGGGAGAACTGGAACCCCTCTGCGAGCCAAGGAGGGGCTTAAAGGTGGCAACTCTCTCATACTGCTGCCTGCTCCACCGCCCCCGTTCACCTCCACGTTCCTCCGGGCCAAGTGAGGGCTTTCCGGGGGCTGCAACGAGCGCGGATGCTGCTGGAGAGGTGATCCTTGGATTATGTGGACGATGGGGTCCAGGGGAGGCTGGAACGCTCTGGTGGGTTGAGAAAGCTGCCTGGAGGGGCTGGAAGTGAGAGAGCGATCGGCCAGAGGGGCGTGCTCTCTGAAGGGGCTGGCAGGTCTTTCCTGGAGCACTGTGGTAGTCTTGGTCCTGGGGCTGGAGGGCGATGGGGATGAACAGGTCGGAAACTTGGGTGTGGGCCTGGGGCTACTTGGCACAGCGTTTCTACCGCTAAGAGATTCACTGGAGGACAGAAGGGGGGTCTGCCGAGGGCTCTCAGACCCAGCTTGGCCCAGTCCTGTGTGGCTTGGCTTGGGGCTTGGAGGAGCCTCCGTTAAGACCTTTCGCGGCAACCTGGGGCTTTCCTGAACCTTTTGGCTCACCCCACTGCTGCTGAAGTTAGGCAGTATGGTCCGTGGCTGGGGTACCGGCGGAGGCTGGGCGGTGAAGTTGTAGCTAGAGGAGCGTACAGGCACTGGCGGCAGAGAAGAACTCTGGTCCTGGGGTCCTCCACTAGGAGATGGACTGGTAAAGCTTCCACTGCTGGCTGCTGAGGGGGAGGACAGTGGGGAAAAAGGAGGCGATGTGTTCTCATAGCTGGACCCCACAGACATGGCCCCTGGGCTGGTAGGAGGCGATAACAGATACCGGCCCCCTCCGTTGACCATGGGCGACAGAGGAGAGTGAGCTGCGGACTGGCCTCCGGGAGGCTTCATGGCGTCCGATGAAGAAGGCTGAGGGTCATCCATGACTAGAGAATCCATGATCTCCTGGAGGTCCCTCTCAATAGAGCTGACGATAGCGCTGTGCTCGGATTGGACTTTCTCTCCAGGAGCTGGGGGACACTGGGCTGCACTGGGCTGGTGATTCCCATTGACCAAGCTCTCTGTGTCTAGAGGGAAAGCAGAGAGAATAAAACGGGCATCAGACAGGTATTCAAACAGAGTCAACGATATCCTGCACCTCAATAACTCCCCCAGCTCCACCACATGCCCCGGCTCATTAGATATCACACAAAGAAAACATTTGCAGTGGGGCAGCAACGGCATTTTCATAATTCTAACAGCAGCAGCAAAAACAGACTGTTCAGGATACACTGTGCATCATGGCACGACTTAAACAGCAAAGCAGCAGTGATGAGGGTCCTTCAAAGGCTGACTACGACATTGCAAATCGCCATCAGTTAGCATCGCACAATGTTTTGGTTTTTTTAGTGCAAGGCAGGAAAAACAAAAGCACGCTCTCATTTGCGTGTGTACACCGACAACAGGAAAAAACATACAGCTCTCCACAGGCTTCAGGTTCTGGTTAGTTTTGCCCTCGAGCTCAGCGGGTTTTACAAGGACTGCTGTAACCTGTGGCAGCGAGATGACTCGGGAGAGCCGAGTGACATCAAGGATCTAGTGATCCTTGATGTCTCCGACCGGCACCGACCTGACAGCACGGAGCGACGACACGGGAAGAAATGAAGCTCCAAACTAATATGAAAGACTGTGATTGGTTTCCTGCTGGACAGTCAGTCCCGTCACTGTGTTAGATGCACATCTTTGTTCTGGGCGGTCCAACCAGCTTTAGTATAAAAGTCTCTGTGGGTAACGAGAGTTATCCCTCACCAGAGCTTTTTAATACAACTACCTTCAATGACTATGAGAGTAACACTGTTGGATGATCTCTTTCCCCTGAACAGAAGAAGTGCAGTGACACTGCCTTCCTTTAAGAGTCTTTAACCCTGATAACTTTCCATTATTCCTGTGCGGTTGTGTCACAGCGTTCCTTACTGTGCTGAAAACATCCTACGAGCCTTAGCCCCTCCTAACTCTTCACAGCCGCACTGAAATGAAACTATTTAAAACATGTACTGCCAGACTTCCTCACCTCCCCAGAGAGCTTCACAAACTGCTGAATTTGAACCTGTTATTTAAGATGCATTCAACGTCAATTTTCCAGCCTACTGTGGAAGACAGGTAAGTACAAGGCCAGAGAAGGGATTAGTAGTGAGGGGGAAAAAGGAAGGAAGGACACACAGACGGCACTGGATAGGAGAAAATGTGCCTACATAACCCAATTACTGTATGGCCCGAAAGCAAACGTAGGACACAGGCCAGGTAATCTCATCTTAATCATCTTCCTCCAATGTCAGCACAGTAGATTATAACACCAGAAACACACAGCCACGTGGCTCTGAGGCAGGGAACACTCCACAGACCAGGTTTTATTCACCTTAAATGAGGATTATTGTAAGGTAGCGTCATCAGTGCCAACACAGAGGTAATAAAACAGCTGTCGTGTCTGAGAAGCAAATAAAAGAGTCAGTTTTGTGTCACAGAGGCAAATCCCATCAGTGCAAGTGCTTTAAAATACAGAAGCTTCACAAATAATGCATTAGCTGTGCCTGCTCAGCTGACACCACAGCAGCTATGCCTGCTTTTTCTCTAATAACGCCAAGCTCTGCCCACGTGACAGCCTCACCACAACTGAATATGAACGCATCTGCGTGTAAATAACACGGCAGTGAAGTAACAATGCTAGTGTCACATCGACCGTCACGGATCCTGATGTGAGGAACACACAATACGGGATAAAGGCGGCCGTTTGCTGAGGGAAAGCCCGTGCAATGATGTCATGGCATACAGACCATCGCCTCCAGCGCATCGCGACAAACTTCATTTAAAAACTGGCAATTTACGCCGGCGTGTTCGCGGGTAAAGACGAGCGCCGGCTTCAACATGACGGCATGATATTTTATCACACGGAACATCCTCTGCTTTTCGGCACCAATTCCATCATATGGAAGCGCTAGCTAACAAACACACGCTTGGTTCATCTGCCATTACCCATTTCTCCCCCTGACAAGAACGCCGTATCATGCTGTTAGCAAAGAAGATCAGATGTATTTAGAGGAAATCACACAGTCGTGTTTATTAATGTGATATGATCCGAATAAAGATGCAAAGTCACAGTGATTGGTTCGAGTGTGTACCGCTGCTCTAAGACGTGCACACCTTCTTAGATAAATGCACGAATGAAAAATCGACGTATTGTTAATGGAGTTTGGCGTGTGACCGCTTGGCATCACTTTTCTCAGGCGCGGAGAGCTAGGGTTACTCACATGAAGGAATAAAACTGCGCCCCGGTCAGTTTCAGTGCGGTTCACCTGCTATATGACCCACACATGAGGCCACGTCCTCCGGACAGCGCTGACAGGGCGGCTGTGGCAGAGCTCCGCCGTGTCTGGCTCCACACACACCGAAGAGACACGGAGCTTCAACGCCGCGCTGACAGTTCAGCCGGGGTGCTGGGTACCGCTGCGGACCGCCGAACCGCTGGCGTCAGGTTACGCGAACAGTAACACGGCATTTCCGGTCTTGACTTTCAAAGTAAATCTCTATTAGCGTCAAGGGAACGTGCCACTGTTGAGAACATTTTCACTATTAAGGCCGATTTTAACTGAATATGAAAGTCCATAAAATACCTTAGAAGTGCAGTTTTACAATTAAACCCAGTTACGAAAAACAAATCGCTCTGAACTCCTGGTGACAGGCATTTATTTTATTTTGAAGGTACATTTGTATGACTGACCGTGTCGTGGTTTACTTAACGAAGCTTTTCCTGCCCGCAGTGATGAACCACTGCGAGATTTGCGAGCAGTTTGTCACGGCAGCACATTTTATTGTTCGTCACTGTTCTCTGTGTCAATAATGCAGTTTAGATGCGACCGAGGAGAAAGTATTGAAACGGCCCGTGTCCACGTTAAAGCCAGGGATGGCGGTGAGAGAGCGATGCAGCTTATTAGTTTACCCAAACAAGACGAACCTCAAAAAGATCAACTTTGGGACAAAAGTCAGAAATGACAAATATCCGTGTGCATCCACCGTCTGTCTGAATATCTTTCCACATAAAAACACTCACACTGATCGAGCATGGTGAAATATTTAAAGGAAAATCAGAGAGGTTCTTCTGGGATGGAAATGTGGGTTTGGAAATGGAAAACAGGGGCAGGAAATATGTGGCGGTTACCCTGTTAAATGGCAAAAAGATCCCCAGTTTGACGTCCTAATAGTGCTTTATTAATAAGCACTTGCTTTCATCTCATAATAGTGAAAAAAAGAGATTCAGCATGCAGCAGTGCCAATCTAAAACCACAACTGCATCCCCAGCCTTCAGCCTTGTCCTCAGAGCTGTCCAGCAGCCAAGTCACTGGGAGATAAAGGCCTTTCACTGGGAAGAATACAGAAGGCTGGGGAACAGGGACCAGAGGGGAAACCCAGGCAGGGAGGGCGCAGAGATGGGAGACAGCACACTGGAACTGGGAGCTTTATAAATAGCCTCTGAAAAGGATACTGTAACCCCAGCCATCAGCCACTTTAAGGAACCACAAAGCCGTCTGCTGGCCTCGCACTGAGATACAGGAAGTGCCAGCTGGATGAAAATCCAGCAAAGCTTGCAGAAACTAAACGAGACAGGTAAATGCGACGGACGCAGCTGCAATTCGTGACTCTTTGCTGGTCTTCGGTGGAGGATGTGACAGTGTGTGGCTGTCTGTCTCTCTGTCTTGCACAGAAACTGATGACATGTCCTCTCCGCCAGCGCCACGTGGGACAGGCTCCAGCCCCCCTCCAAACCTGATAAACAACTAAGGAAATGGAGGGCGGACTGACAGAGTGGTGCAAAGTGCACACGACTCTGGAGAATTGCATGAGGTTTGATTTTGCAAGACAATCGTTACAAAGTGATGCAAGTTTTAGGATTCACAGAAGTAGGCCATAAACAACTAATATCCCAACCAGCGCCACCAGGCTGCTGACAACACCAAACGTCCCCTGTCTGCAGGACTCATTGCAGTGTTACCATGTATGTGTGGCAGCATGGTCCCGTTAGGGAGATCAGAAGTCCTCAGGAGCCCTGGACCAGCAGAACTGATTTAAAGCAGACTCAGAGATTTCGATCAGTAATTTTTCCACCATTCACGTGTGTATGGAAAACAGACTGTATACTAAAGACAGAAGCAGGATCACCCATTGTTAGCATTTCCACACTGACCATCTCGGCGTTTTGCAGCAGTTTGTGACGAGGAAATAGCAACGAGCAGCGCTGACTGTGAAACGAAGGGAAGCTGCAGACTGATGGGCCGGCGGCATGTCAATCACAAGGTCACCATGACCTCATTGATCCTCTATTTGTAATCAGAAGGTTGCCGGTTCGAGCCCTGGCTCGGACAGTCTCGGTCGTTGTGTCCTTGGGCAAGACACTTCACCCGTTGCCTACTGGTGGTGGTCAGAGGGCCCGGTGGCGCCAGTGTCCGGCAGCCTCGCCTCTGTCAGTGCGCCCCAGGGTGGCTGTGGCTACAATGTAGCTGCCATCACCAGTGTGTGAATGAGTGTGTGACTGTGTGGATGACTGGATGTGTAAAGCTCTTTGGGGTCCTGAGGGACGAGTAAAGCGCTATACAAATACAGGCCATTTTTATTTTACTCTAATGGAATCTTTACCCGTTTACTCAAGTCACACATCAAGTAGGTCTGTGAGTCATTACAAAGAGTGCAGGTTTCAGACTCATACAGCAGCTTCACATTTCAGACCCACAAACTGTCTCCATCTTTTGTGTACAGGTATACACGTTATGTGCTTGATGGAACGTGACATCCACGTGTGGTGCTTCAGTCTATCAGCACCTGTACTGACTCTACCTGCACCATGAATCTGGAGAGATGCTCCGAGGTATCGTAAAGACAGGAAGTGACTACAGTTTGTTGATCCTAGAGCACAAACTGCATCTGTACATCGCAGAGATTCAGCCTAACCACACTCACACTGACTCACAGCTGACACACACTAGTTCACACACAAAGATAACATGTGCCACTTTCAAGTCTTTTCAAGCTGACACGGCGGACATGCTGCGTTTATCATGGGAGTGGCATAAGCAATCTTCATCTGAACGCAACTCAGGAATGCGTAATTGGTACGTTTCTAAACAACGGAAGGCTTTCATTAGTGGATCAGGAAGTCCAGAGCAGGCAGCGTGCCTGTGTGCTATACTTATCCCCTGGTGGCACGCCGTGTCAACTGTGGGGGAGGACGGGGGACGAGATGCTGTGACAGATCCCTGGAAGTATAGCTTGCCAAGAGAAGGTACACTTACAGCTGTGGGGACACACACACACACACACACACACACACACACACACACACACACACACACACACACACACTTTGCCTGGAGACAGAGGAATGAGATGAAACATGCATGGTGTGAGCTCGGTCCCAGCTGGGCCCTGCTCAGGCTCTGGGCTCCAACAGACCCTCCAAGTGACGACGAGGGTCTGATAACAGAGCTGCAAACAGAACTCTGACCAATCTATGACTCTGCAAATATAAAATGTCTTTTTAATGAAACACCAACCAAAGTAACTGAGAGCAGCTGACGTTTGAAAAGCCAACAAACACACAAAGAAAAGTCTGCTGCTCCACTTGCTCCACCCTTGTGTGGAGTTTACTGCTGTACAAGCAGCCACCTGTAAACTACACCTCTCCACCTCCAGCACCCGCCTTTTTACCGTCTGCTCCTTTCATCCGTGCAGGCCGAGCTGAAAATGAGATTTCTTACGGGGGAAACGAGGTCTTTCTGTTTCCTGGACAAAGTGCCAGTGCTGAGCTTTTCAAGTGATTTGTGTTTGCGAGGTGTGGAGTCAGTGCTCCCGAGTAATAACAGTCAGGATATACTACGTATGTACAGTGGGGCAAAAAAGTATTTAGTCAGCCACCGATTGTGCAAGTTCCCCCACCTAAAATGATGACAGAGGTCAGTAATTTGCACCAGAGGTACA